ATAGTCATGCATTAGGATATACTACAATATAATATATAGCAGGTATCATGAAAACACGCGCATGCACGTGCGCTGCAATCTGATTGGCTTTAACTTTAAATGCGTATAACTCCTTTGTTTTTCAACCAAACAAGATGGGATTTAGAACATAGATAGACATAGTGGATTCCTACAAAAAGGTAAGGTCATCATGCACATGCATGCACGTGCATGCACGTGAGATGGGTAAAATCAGAAATACACTTGATGAAGCGTATTTTTTAATACTTTTGGATTAAATGCTTTATTATTTTATTATATTAATGTATATAGATAGTGTAGACAAGAGAATATGGTCATTACGCACATGCATTTACATGTGCACGCGTGCAAATGCTAAAATTTGAATATACTCGGTATACTTCAGGGAAACGTTGGTAAAGTGTAAAATGCATAGAGTTTGTCGTTTTTAATGAAGCTTAAAGGGAGAATGGCACCAAAAGGGAGTTGGGGAGCGTTTGGGGAACATCTGTAATGGTTCCCGTTACAATTAGCCCTAGTTATTATAGGTATTACGTATTTTTTTTAATTTACTGAAAATTTCGGTGAAATTGATAGGTACGCGAACTCCTGTGATTTGATTTTAACTTGTGGGAGTCAATGTTTGTGGACAAGCCAAAATTTATTAGTTTGTGGGGATGTAATTTCTAGGAGAACTTGTATGATCTATCTAAGATTCAATCAATAAATATGTTGATAGAATAATTGTTCATGGGGATATAAATGTGTGGATAAGGGTTACCCACAAATCCACAAACATTGGTCCCCCATGAACCTTGATGATTCCACAGTATGTGTCTTTAATGTCAGTTTCACATAAGGTTGGGAAAAAAGCATTGTACTTTGCCAGTTTGAGTCAATTAGCTCAATTGTTGGTATTTCATTCCTTCCTTCATGTCCTTTGACACTTATTTTAGTGAAGATTTATCAGCATAATTAGGTATTTTTCAGACTCTAAAATTTAAAGTAAAAACCTGTATATGTCAGCCCAGGTCTTTCTGATTCACCTGATTTCTCTCCATACCCAGTCTCCTCAGCAGAAAATAACTCTAAAGCTTTAGAAAATAGGCATTAACTATTAGTATAAAGTAAGGATATTACTTTACTTTACTTAAAGGAAAACATATTAATCTTAAGGAATTGGATATGCCAGTTTGTGTTTTCAAATTTAGAAAATAATATTAATATTGACACTACATGAATTTTACCTCACAAGGAAGAATGCAAACAATATAACTGTAAAAGAGCATACTTTCATAGTGTCAAATGTTCTCGGTTTGGGGAGATAAATACTTGTGCATGTATATCTTTATGTGGAGATTTGATTTTGTGGTTGACAAAGTGTAGAGTAGTTATACATTTAAAATTTATAATTTCATGGAAGACATGAATTTGTGGGTTTCTTCATAGCTCGAAACTTTGAAAAGTAAACTACCAGGAAAATAAGTGTCTTCACAGTACTTGTAAGGGCTACATATGCGGTATCCATATCTTTCTTTTTCAAAGAGAATATTATACATTTATTGCATGATAGTGAGGGAAATATGAAGACTTATTCAGCCAAGAAAAATCATATTCCCCGAGGGCTTCGCCCGAGGGGAATATGATATTTCTTGGCTGAATAAGTCTTCATATTTCCCGAACATTCATGCAATGAATTGTTTATTATACCGAAACAAACAAAACCTTTGAAATGTACATAAACTTTCAAATTCGGCACCTCTCTCAAATTCACACCATTGTTAACGTAAAGTTACTATAAAACTCTTTGGTCAACACATTGTCATCAGTTTTGTGACGTAAACCAAGCTATTGTGACGTTGACTACTCTCGGGAGTTTTCGTTCAACGAACGAGAACTATATTGTGGGAAAATTCACTAGGTGTTCCGAAGAGGTGGAATATGATGAAAAGCGTGTCGACGACGGGAAATATTAAGTTTTACGGCCCGATCACGTGATAACCTAGAACCAATCAGATAACGCGTTGTGTAGAATATTTATAATGAGGTATAATAAAATAATATATCTAGTATACTATGGTAATAATATAAACCTCATAGGTAAACAAGTTAGAATCACTCCTTCATTATTATACAATTTGTTTATTAGTTGTTATTAGCTAGATGTTACTGTTGACAAAGTAACAACAGACCAGGTGTTGGTTTAGACTGTGGCCTCAAGCTAATGTACCTCATCACCCCGTAACACGGAATAAAACTGAAGCTCATTGAAAGAAACTGATGTAACATTTCACTGTTTTGCATACATTATTTAGCTATATGGATTAAACTTTGAGTTGATGATGTTAAGTCTGTAAATCATTTATAGACTTAACATTATAAATTCAAAGTTTATTCTATACAGCTTAACAATGTATGCAAAACAGTGTTACAATTAAAAACAAAATATTTATCTTTCCATGAGGAAAAGCTCTCATACTTCAAATGTTGATTAATGTTTTTGAAATAATAAACTGAAAAAAATATGTATATACATGTATATCACTTCTGGTGTGAAGTACTGATGAAATATGGTAATCAAGAAAAAGAATTTGAATGATGGAATGACTTATGCAATAAATTTAAATATAATCACTCAGCAGAAAAATCTGTGGTACATGTCTTCATGGGTATGCATGTACTTCCTCATTCTCCTTCAAAATTCCTTAAAATAAAAACATGAGTTATGAAAAGGTAGCATAAACTCTGGCCTTTCTAAAAAAGTTATATAAAAGTACATGTATTTCAGTAATTATAAATTATGATGGAGAAGCATATTAATTTCCTTATTTCTTACAATTTATTTTCACATTGAAACATTTGAATTAATTTTATTTATAGATGACTATTTTCTTCTGTAATTTGATTTGTTGATTCAGAAATTAAACACAATAGATTTCCAACTATTTTGTAACAGTCTGTTTTTCCCTAACAAGTTTCAGGATGTTTGTTACATGTAACGTCCTGTTTCAGACAATGGTGCATTAATTTGGTATATGATATTTCCAAAAAGTGCTTTAAAGTAAAATGATGTTTTTAATGGGATATTGAAGTTATGAAATATAGATATATACCTGCATGAATAGAGTGACACATGAAAGGTATGTACCATTCTGTATGGACTGAGTAAGTGTAATTTGAGCATTAAGAAGAAAAAAAATACTGATAGGTAGCTACATCATGTACATAGAATATGCTGGTGCTGTGGATGAAGGAAGAGATTTGTTTTCAAAACTTTTTTAATGACAAATTTATGAATGGAAATTCCTATTTCTAGCCATATCTGAGAGTGAAGTGCAATAAATCAAAAGGTTTAGAAATAAGAATAGGTTTCTTAAGCTCATCTGTTAGAAAACCACATTTAAGTGTTTGTGAAAAATATTTTTCATAATTCATATATTTTTAGAAAATGTGGTCTCAGTAAACAAGCTGTGAATCTGTCTAGTCATTGTTATTTATTTATTTTAGCAGCAGATGTATTTATTTGCATCCAAAAAAAATTAATAAAAATTGCCAAATCTCATTTGCATCTACAGCCATTTGAGAAAACAACTCTGAGAAATAACACGGATGTTTTCATGTTGTTTGTGTGTTTACCGTATCAGCCCTGCATTTTCTCAGTTTGACAAGCGGTGCTTGGATAAAATAATTACTATTCCAATATCATGCTCTAACTCATAAAAATGGGGTTTAATAGATTAATGGAAATCAAAGTCATGCAGTCATTAAATTTATGGATCGGTTGATCCTTGCATAAATGCAAACATGATTGCAGTCACATCATGAATTTTACAATTTTAATTGAAAATTTAAAGTTCTTATATTCTAATTCATACAATTTGAATTAATAAAAACAAGAAAATCTGTTGATTGTACATGTTATGGCTAAAATATTTTGAATGGTATTGAAATACCGGTAATATTATTTTTCAAATTGTATAAAATAATTCTTAGAGAAAATGATGTTTTAGATTAATCAATTTAGTTTTAGGATATATTCGGGTATTAGAGTTTACATTGTATATGGGTAGATACAGTCCCTATTAAATACAAATGGTATCCCCACACCCATGGTGATGCAATCATTTAAACCACAGGGAGGCCTAAGGGATGGTTGATTTCAAATGAGAGCAAAACAATGTTGTTTACTAGTCTCCTTTCCTCAAATATGTCCTCAGATAGCATGCCTGAATTTGTAAACAAACCAACACTTGATGAGGTAATGGAAGATATTATCAGAAATTCAATATTTCTGTATTGTAAATCGAAGGACGCAAACAGCCCTATCTGAGAATTACCTTCCAAGAATTTACCTGTAATTTGATTTACCTGTATGGATTTGGGTACTCAAGGTACTGTTTATTTGGATATTATAATATTTACTGTAGTGTGTCAGCAAGTGTATTAATTGCAGTAAAGGTTGAGGTTTTTTAATTCATTTTATCAACAATACTTAAATTTTGAAAAAGATGTACCTTTAATAAATAAAGTATATAATGTTGTTGACAGATTAACTTCATGTCAAGTTATAGTAATAAGGAATTATAGATCATAATGAAAGTGAAAGTTGAACCATTCAGGAAGAAAAATATTGTCTGTTGAGTTGTTTGATATTGATTGTAATCATTATCTGAGCATCATGCCTGCTCCAGACGTGTGCCGTGTCATAGACATGTTTGTTACGGTGTTTGTTACTGTCAAAGATTCCGTACACTTCCTGTGTCTAAATGATTGAAATGTTTGTTTTTGACAACTAGTGAAAGATCCATGTGTCATCTATACCTTATGTCACTCTGTAAGTTTCAAACCTTTTAGTATGCATAGCAATCTGCCCAAAATACTGAATGAACTTTGTGGGACTAACCACAAAATGGCTTAGAGAAATGACATGTAAGCAGTCACTTTTTGTTTGTTTGGTTTTTCAAAACTTTAAATTACACCTGTATAGAGACTGGTATCAGAGGGTTCTTTTTCCGGTGCAGTGAATTGTTTAATGTTCATCACTGTTCTTTTGTTTGTTGTTTACTGAACAAATAATTAATAGTATTCCCTAGACTAATCTCTATGGGAATTTATATAGCTGTGTAAAAATAAAACATTTTTAAATAAAGGATTTGCTGGACACCATTTGGTATGTATGAAAAAGTTTTATATAAACTGCTACTTTAAGGAATGTTTAATCTTTAAAAACCAACTAATTCCTTTTCTTCTAGATGACTTTAGGTGCTACATTGTAGATTAAGATCAATAAATATTTTTTGTTGTTGTTGAAAGACTCAGGCACCCATATTTATTAATAGTAAACATGAATATATGCAGACAAGTTTCATTTTGCAGATATCTGATTTTAAGTCAAGGTTCTTAACACTTTGTAATACTGTAGATCACTTAATTTTCGCGACACCTTATTTTCACGAGATAGTCATTGACTCTTTATAAGCGAGACAAAATTTTCACGAAGTATGGTCATTGCTCTATATAAATTAAGGAATACTATTAAACGAGAGAATGAAATTTTCGCGAGCATATTGTCTCGAGTAATTACGCAAAAATAAAGTTCTCGCAAATAGTGATTTACAGTAGAATTCACATGTTAGTATTATTATTTTTTAATCTAGGATTACAGAAATGCATATTGCATGACAGTTTTGCAACAGTCAATACCATTTTATCAGGAATTCATGGATTTGTTCAAATTGTAGGGATGTGCGATTTTATCGGTATACCGGTATATCGCTATTTTTTGTTGCGTGATACGTATCGTGATACGGAGACCTAAATACCAGTATTTAGGTACATATTATAAAGTCCAAAAATTTTTCATTTATTTCTTCAATCTTTCAAATTACAATTATAAAATGTCTAGAAATATTGAAAAAGGTGAAAAGAATGGCATCTTACCATCCAACCATGATTAATTTTATGTAAATGAAAATTTCAAAAAAGTGAAATTTTGTTTTTTTAGCACACTTTAAAGAAAAATAATGACAGTTCATTAAAAATCAGTGTAAAAATTGCTTGTAAAAATATCATGATATTATCGTGATATTTTGGGAAAAAAATTGTGATATATCGCGATACAAAATTTTTGGCGATACCCATCCCTATCAAATTGCATATGAGTTCAGGTCACCTGCATTTCGGATCTGATTCAGAAAAATAATTTATTTTTTAGTTTATTATTTTTATGCGCCCGGATCGATAGATCCGAGGCGTATATTGTTTTTGTCCTATCTGTTTGTCTGTTTGTCTGTTTGTCTGTCTGTCTGTTGTCAACTTTAACCTTCGCCATAACCTTTGAAACATGAAAGATAGAGACTTCATATTTGGTATGCATACTCCACCAATAAAGTTCTTTCAAATGACACCAAGGTCAATGACCTTATGACCTTGACTGTGACCTATTTGCTAAAAATAGCTTTTTCGAATTTTCACCATAACTTTTGAACCATGAGAGATAGAGACTTCATATTTGGTATGCACTTTCAACGACACCAGGATCAATATCCTTGTGACCTTGACTGTGACCTTTATGCTAAAAATAGCTTTTTCGAACTTACAACATAACTTTTGAATCGTGAGAGATAGAGACTTCATATTTGGTGTGCATACTCCACTAGTGATCAAATGACATCAAGGTCAATGACCTGTGACCTTGACTTATCTTCTGAAAATATTTTTTTTGAACTTTGTTGCCGTCGGGCGCATAGTGTTTCACAAACACATCTTGTTTTGAATTTGATTTCTTTTTTTGATACAGTTGAAATTGTAAGCTTATTTCTAAATCCTTCAGTCTATAATATAATTATATTGAACACTTAAGGTAGCCGAAGAAATTTGTCAGATTAAGAAATTTTGTTCGAAAATTCATCTGATGTAGAAGTAGGCCATGAAGATAACAACTGCATTACTTAAATCTTATTCCTTTAGTTTTAAGTTTTGGCTGTCATTCCGAAAAGAATTTCCTCCCTTGTACCATATAAGTTGAAACCATTTTAGGTATTTACTTTAAAAGCACAAATATTCATGGGGGATTAAATTTCATTTATTTCGTTGTTAACAATTATCAACCAAATTAAATCCCACGTGAAATTTGTTATGGCTACATATTGAATAGGTTTACTTTCAAAACAATGAAATTAAATGCCAACGAAACTACTTTTGATGACAAATCAACAAAATTTTATCCCCACAAAAATTTGCGCTTCTACAGTAAGTACAAACTAGTAGGGTGGCATAGAGCTTATAGTAAGTCTTGTCAGAGACTTCTGGTTCAAAGAAAATTATACTAAATACTATATGGACATTTATGTGAAATTTTGTTTTGCTAAAGAATTAAAATCTAGAAATTGTGTCACTTTCCTTAAAAATACTGTTTTTCCCATTTTTCCAGAATAATGCCACCTAGTTCAGGGGAGCTATGGGGCCACCACCTGATGCCCTCGCAGGTGAAGGTGGATTGTCTAATGCCAACAGGGGTACTGATACAGGTATTTATAACATTATTCTCTATATATATCAGTATCCAAAAAAAAAAAAAAAGCGCTTAGTGTAAAAAATTAAACGTAAACTTGTTTGGTTATCTTGGATTTAATTTTGATTTATCAGTATCCATATACATTTTATTGTGATTTACATGTATTATATTGTCTCCCATTTTTGTAAATGAGTGAGCACATTTAATCTCATGTTGTCCGACTCCTCCCCCCCCCCCCCCTAAAAAAAAAATCAAAACCAAAAAAAAAAAAAAGATCTTGGTAATAGCTCATGAGTGAGAAAAGATTGGATTTGCCTTTTCCACAAATCCATTACCTGTAGAACATACTTAAAATTTGGACCCCATGAACTTAATCTTGCCATTTGAAGTACTATTTGATAAATTTTAATTTTGGTTATAACTTCTGAATTAGAGAAGATAGGGTTTTCATATTTTATAGGTGTATTACCTGTATCAAGACCTTTGTGAGTGTACTATGAATTTTGACCACATTACCTTGGCCTTGAAAGTTGACCTAGTCTACATTCCAAAAAGTTCCAACTTTTTTCACTAGAAGTTACATTACTTTCATTTGCTACCAGTATTAAACAAGATCTTTTAAGTGTTTTTCTTTGATTTTTTTACTTTATGACCTAGACTCAAAGTTTGACTTTCAACTTCAATCTTGACTAACTTTTGCAACAGAACATAATACTTCCAAACTCTAAAACTTCCTTCAGCATGGTGGTTATATAGATAGGACAGATAAAATAAGTCTGTTACAATATGAAATAAATCATTGCACTCAAACAAATAGTCAACAAAAACGAAGACTGCAATTCTCTAAATTTCCCTGTTGAATACATGTATAATGTTAAATTGTTTGAGATCTTTGTGACATTATACACCTTGAAATATGACTTTGTGAATTGTTTACAGGGTGTTTTTTTTTTAATAAACAGGTAGTAGTATTAATAACAAAAGTATTACATTCACAATGAAAATTGTTGAAATTTGATCCTTTGTTGAGGCTTTGCATAATTTTAGATTGTAGAAAAGCAACTTGTTTATCACTTTGATTAAAGAACATCTATAGGTAGTAAAAAAAAAAATTAATGTTTATTGAATGTACATGTTAACAAATGACTTGTGATAAAACTTGATACCAGGTACATGTATTTTGGCTGTTTACAGTTGATGGTGAACCGAGATGAGACATTAGAAAGGATTAAAGCTCAGTTGTGGATAGACGCTAGAAATTACCCCCTCTTTCATAAACTTGGGGACCAGGGGTCGTATATTTTTGTGAGCATTACACAAGATGCCGAGAGTGAGGAATTCTATGATGAAACTAGAAGATTATGTGATCTCAGACTCTTTATGCCTGTACTCAAAGTTGTTGAACCAATTGGAAACAGAGAGGAAAAAATAATTAATTATGAAATAGGTGTGTGTTTATTAATTCGGATATGTATTTTAATGTGTGGTTTTTTTGTTTTGAAGAAATCATCATAACTTTTATTTTTCAAATTATTTTTGAAAGTGATATATAATTTAGGTTTGATAGATATTTATTTTTACCAAGTCAACCACAAACCTCTTTAAAAAAAAATCAATTATGCAAATCACAGAAATGTACATGTATCAATAAATTAAAAAATAATATATTGAAAACTTTTTTACTTCTACATTGTATAATGAATGATTTTTGAAACCCATTTAGGCATGACAATTGGAATACCGACCAGTGACTTTGATAACATGAAGGATCTTGAAGTGATGACATTTAGGCGAACCGCCCTAGATGTTTGTCGGGAAGCATTAGAACAGAGACAGATTAACAGTAAACAAAGCGCTGCGTTATGTGCGTATCCCCCGGACCTCGAATCCTCACCAGAACTACCTCCACATCTCAAAAAGAAATTAAAGAAAAAAGGTAATTTATTTTATTTTAATTTTTGAATGACACACAATTCAGATGAGATACATGTATTTACTTCTTCAAACTTTAATAAAGGAAAGGATATTTGATTTAGGAACATGGGCATTTCAAGAGTTTAAAAACAAAGTAGAATTTGAACAAGCCTAAAAACTTTTAAATTCAGGTACAACTGTAAATATACTGTAAACCAACTTTTATTCGCGACAATATTATTTCGCGATTTACCAGTGAATAAACTAGTTCACGACGATTAATTTTCACGATCAAGCCAATTCTGGATCTGTTGTTAATAGACACATAAACTCTAAGGACCGGTTCGTGGCGAGAAATATTCACGATGAACTTCGCGAAAATTTCTCGCATGCGAATAAAAGTTGGTTTACAGTATGTCATAAGTATTTGTAAGACTGAATATCAAGGGAGAAAGAACCTCTCTTTTTTCCAGAAGGACATGTTGTTTGTTGTATATGGATAGTATCAGATGATGGCAACAGGAATAAATTCAGTGTCAGTGTGGGACACACGGCTCGACCCATTGACGTTATATCAGAGGTCATAAGGCGAAGGGGTCGCCTAATGGATATCACTACATCACAGCTGGATGGACTGATAGAAAGTTATAAGGGCACCTACGCCCTTAAAGTGTGTGGTTGTGACGAGTTTTTATTGGCAGAGAAACCAATCAGTCAGTATAGGGTAAGTTATGTATATGTGAATGAAACTATTTATAACCTGAAGTGTGTAGACCATCAATATCTAGCATATGTACAGTGTTGCTTTGAATGTATACCTGTAGTAATATGACAATATTAACTACATGCACATGATTGTAATGGTATTGCAGATACATGTAAGCTTTCTGTGAACTAAAGAAAATTGTACCACATTTAAGCCTTCTTTTAATGAATTGCTGTATAAAGCCTAGCTTATTCTTATTTCTTTTCACAGTACGTTAGAGAATGTATTGCTACAGAGAAGATTCCACAGTTCATGTTATTGACCAAGGATGGGATTTATGCAACACTACCAGAGTTCACCTATCAAATGCCATCCTATGCACAAAGAGGTAAAAATCTTTATACTCACGTGGGCTCTGAAGGGGGGTGTAATCTGGAATCACCTTAGTGTCTGCTGTCTGCTTGGAAGGGAAGACCACTTCCTGTGATATTGCAGGGGGTATCCAACACCAAACTTCTGCGTAAGATGCATATATGAATATTGAATAAGGTACATTTTTTTGGCTTTGCCTTAGTGGAAGGCATTGGTTGTGTGAATTGATAACTCTGTGTGATATTTATCATGTTAACTGCTTTTTTCATTGGATATCACATATTGGATAAATTTTGTCTGACCTTCAGTTGTGAGGTCACTAATGTTTTTTGCATGAGAGTAATAAAGTAAAATAAAGTGGACTCCTGTAATAAAACAGAATAAAATATGTGATAACCGCATGAAAGAATATCCAATATGGCTGGACATGATTTTTCTCGAACTCTTTGTGTTTCCTATCCAATGGCTTGAGGTGGGGGTTGAAGAGTGTAGAAAACACATCTTATAGCAACTTAAAAGATTGTATGAATTACATAATGAATCTAAATGTCCATCCTTGGCTGTTTTTCTAAAATCAATACCAATCAAGTCCTGTGATATTGCAGGGGGTATCCAACACCAAACTTTTATTATACTAATCAAGTTTCATATTGTGAAATAAAGATCCAGTCATATGAGTGATGAGTCTTTATTGTTTGGTTTATACAGGTCATCAGTTACTGTTAGATATCAATAACCAGCCAACCATTTCTCTCTGGGAAATTAACGCTGCAATCAGGATCAAAATAAACTGTGCTACTTACGTCAACGTGAGAGAGGCAGGAAAGGTATATTATTATTTTTCAATGAGTAACACATTTATCTGAGCTCGAGTAAGGTTTGAGTTGATTTTTGAGTACCACACTGGCTTTTTTTGTAGATATATGTTAAGGCAGGGATTTACCATGGTACAGAGGCTCTTTGTGAAGCTCAGGTGACAAAGGAAGTGGAATCTAACAATCCTCGCTGGACCGAGTGGCTGGAATTCCTGAACATGACCGATATTCCCCGCAGTGCCAGACTCTGTCTGTCCATCTGTTCAGTCAACAGGAGGAGAAATAGAAAGGTAGTCCCTATATAGTTTTCATATCTAATCAATTCTTAATATTTGGGTGTATACATGCATACAGTCATGAATACATATTAGTTACTGATGTTTAGACAAGGCACAAGACACTTGTATAATTGTGTAAAAAATTAAAAAAAGAACTTTTCTTTTTGTTGATTGAAATACTGTAAATCACTTTTTATTCGCGAGAACTTTATTTTCGCGTAATTACGCAAGACAGTGTTCTCGCGAAAATTTAATTCTCGCATATAATAGCATTCCTTAAGATAATATAGAGCAATAACCACAATTCGTGAAAATTTTGTCTCGCTAATCAAGAGTCAATGACTATCTCGCGGAAATAAGGTGTCGCTAAAATATAGTGATCTACAGTAAAAGAAAACACTTCTACTTATAATGATCTTAACATTTTAGGTGACATTTGCCCTAGCTTGGGGAAATCTACAGCTGTTTGATTTCAATGACAGACTTCTAAATGAAAAAGTTAGTCTAAATCTCTGGCCTATGCCCCAGGGAATGGATGAACTTCTGAATCCCATTGGTATTCCAGGTAAGTTTTATATGAATGATATGATAAAGTTCACACATATGAGCAAGTGTTTATTTTTTGTGGCATATGCTTTCTTTTTTTATACCCCCCGCAAACGAAGTTTAGGGGGGGTATATTGGAATCACCATGTCCGTCTGTCTGTCCGTCTGTCTGTCCGTCTGTCTGTAGACAAGATTTTGTCCGGACCATTACTCAGAAACTATTGGAAGGATTTGTCTGAAAATTTGTACACATATTATTCACCATATGAAGTTGTGCACCTGAAATTTTCATCTTGATTCGATTATTATTTCAAATTTTACAGGTGTTTTTTCATTTTTATTTTGTGGTTTTGTCCGGACCGTTTCTCAGAAACTATTGCAAGGATTAATCTGAAAATTTGTACACTTATTATTCACCATATGAAGGTGTGCACCTGGAATTTTCAACTCTTTTTGTTCATTTTTATGCATTTTACAGGTTTTATTTTTTATTTTAATTGACTTGTTCATTTTGGGCTCATGTATAAGGTTTGAGACATAGAATCTAGAATATCTGTACAAAAACGTTAACTACAGCTTAAAACTACTCATAAAAACTGAAAAAAAAGAAACATCATCAAGTGTTAAAAACAGTTTTTACATTGCACAGAAGATAATGTAATTTCATTTGTCTCTTGGGAATAATGACTGGACATGCATCCAGTTAAAGATAAATGAATGAGTTTGGTGTGGGAAGTTGAACATTAAGGTATCTCTTTATGAACCATATGTTATCTCCTGGGAATCGGGCACAAGAATTAAAGATCTCTCTTCTCTTATTCTCTTAATTGTAATTTATTGTCTGTCAAAGCACTTCATTACTGGATGACCAGCTCTTTATTTTCAAAATGAATTTGATATAAAGTTATCAAGATTAATTTGATTTTGTATAATATGATTTTTTTTCAACAATCAGTTTGCAGAGTGACATAACACATAATTGCAATATATTTTTTAATGCAGAAATAAAAAGATAAAATAAAAAAATAATGTTACAATGGAATTACAATGTATTAGTATTGATGTTTCATTTGGTTGCACCTTTGTTTCATTCATTAAGAAACATGATGAGCATGCAATTATATTTCACTGCAAATTTTGTAAGTAAATTGTGAACACCTCTAGATCCATAAAGTATTTTTGAATTGGCACCTTCTCTGAAAAACCCAGCGGGGGGTATTTGTCCCTACTGGACAGTTCTAGTTTATTACTGTAAAGGCAGAAAATTTCATTCATTTTGTTGTTTACAATTATTAACGAAATTAAATCCCACACAAAATTTTCATATTACTGTGTTGCTTTTGAAAGGACAAAATTTAATGCCCTCGAAACCATTTTATATAACAAATCAACGAAATTTGATCCCCTCCAAAATTTCTGTTTCTACAGTAGTTGTTTATAAAGCTTGCTAATAAGTGTTCTTGTTATGATACAGATGATGACTTGATAGATTGATAGTTATATACCTTTTCACACACCAATGAAATAATTCTCACATTTTCTATCAAGTTTATGATTTTAATTTTTAGGATCAAATCCTGATGAGAAGGAGACAGCTTGTCTTGAGATAGAGTTTGATAGGTTCGCCTTTCCAGTGGTGCATCCTCAAGAATACGAGTTTGAAGAACTGGCTCACTTTCTGACAACCAGAGAACGAAGATCACATTTACTGGTGTGTATCACAGTGTATCAGAAACTCATAATCAGTACTTAAGGGTGATAATATGAATAATTGAATATTGTTTATATTATCATCCATATATGGCAATATCTTAAAATACCGTGGTTATGACAAAGTGAGTTGGAAGTCTCTACAACTTTTTCATCTACAATGAATATTTGAACCTTTATCTCCAACTCTTCGATATCTCTACAAGTATTTTCTCTAACCCAGTAGGGATGATGCAATATCATTGTATACCATGAAGATGGTATGATAAGCTGTCATTGTATTTTCTTAATATCTTTATATGGTTTTATTGATTGATTATTTATTAAAAACAGGAGACTCCTATAAGCAGACAGAGGGATGAGGAGACGATTAGAGAAGTTGTGTTACGGGATCCACTGGCTGAAATCTCGTATCAGGAAAAAGAGATACTGTGGAGGCAAAGGTCTGCATACATCCACTTTGATTTTCAAAATTGTTCATCATACTTCACTGTTGTCTATGAGATGGATTTTATCAATTGAGTATGTCTCTTTTCAGGGAGTTCTGCTTGACTCTCCCCCACTCCTTGCCGAAACTCCTTCAAGCTATGAGATGGAATGATCGTGAAAATGTGGCTCAGGTGAGATTTTTTGTAAAATACTAATTTGAAAGTTGATTTAAGCTTCTTGTACCATATGTTCTTGTTTGAATTTGAAAATTTGAGTTGATCTCCTATTTTATTGTAGTTGAAATTATTACAAACATATTTAATTTGTAGATGTACATGTTACTGAAGAAGTGGCCCATATTGGAGCCAGAAGTAGTTTTAGAGCTGTTAGACTGCTCATTTCCCGATCCTCATGTTCGTAGTTATGCTGTAAGATGTCTGGAACAGAAACTCACTGATGAGAAACTACAACGATACCTTCTACAGCTTGTACAGGTAGGTCCTACTAACAAACAGTTTACACTACAATTTATAATGATCAGTCCAGTCAACTATTTCATTAGACCCTAAAATGTATAACTTTACACTACAATTTATAATGATCAGTCCAATCAACTGTTTCATTAGACTCTACAATGTATAACTTTCCTACCAAGATACATCCTTAATACTTCTTCAGGCAGTTATTCATTTGCATACCAGAATGGGTTTAATTTGTAATGCAAGCTGATGCTTTGGTATGCATAACTCGAATTTCCTTTGCAAGGAGATTCACTGTTTTAAAAAGTTTTGACAAAGGTATTTTCTTTTCAGGCATTAAAATTCGAGCCATATCTGGATAACCCAATCACCAGATTTCTGTTGAGGAAAGCACTTCTAAATCAAAAGATAGGACAAATCTTCTTTTGGCATCTCAAGTAAGTATTTATCTCAATCATTACTAACAAAAGGATACTAATATTTCTACAAATGCCCCTAGACATTAAACCCTTGATATTTATATTCTTTTAACTGTAGGTCTGAAATGCATCACCCTGCCATAAGAACTAGGTTTGGACTTGTGCTGGAGGCATTCTGTCGAGGCCTAGGGCCATACTTAAAAGTTTTGACCCGACAGGTGGAGGCACTAGAAAAACTCACTAAACTTACAGATGCTCTCAGAATGGATGTCAAAAATGTAAGTTCTTAGCATGTACATTTTGCTAGTGCTCTATACACCCGAAAAAAAACTTGTGGAAAGATTCTGAAAGAATGAATACATTCATTTCAAAGTCTAGATTGAAAGATTTAATTGAATTCTTATAAAATAAAGCTGTATGATGAAATTTGTGCTTGCAGGACCACATAGAACAAATGAAACACCTCCATTTACAACTTCAGCAGCCTGATTACCATGAAGCCCTGCGAAACTTCCTGTCTCCACTCAACAACAGCAATAGACTGGGAGATCTGTGGTAGGTCATTCAATCAGAAAAATAATTCATAGAGACTAATGATTGTGTGTGCCACAGACCAGTGTATTTTATAGTGTTATGATGTTCTTTATGTATTACATGTACTTTGAATAGTGCTGCAGACTGCAAGGTGATGAAGTCAGCCAAGCGACCATTAAAGTTATCATGGCAGAATGCTGATCCAATGGCTGATATCTATTTCCTCTCCTTTAAGTTCTTCTTCAAAAATGGAGATGGTAAGGTGTATTACACTTCTGCAAATTATACAATTTGTTTATAAAATAAATAATTTATCATACATTAAAAAAGAATAATTCATGTCTGAAGTACATTATAAACTTTGCAGATCTAAGGCAGGATATGCTGACACTTCAGCTGTTACGGGTTATGGATTCACTGTGGAAAGAGGAGGGGCTAGATTTAAGGCGTGTGTTCAGCTTATAATAATATTTTAAAATACCAAACAACAGTAAAATAGAAGCAGAACAGGGTGAACAAAAAAGGTTTCATCATACACAGCTGTTAGCTTATAAATGAAATTTCACATTAATACCTGTGCATGTTGCTTTGTAAGACAAAATCTGCCTTTTTCATAAGCAAAAATTCCTCTAGGTACATGTACGTTGATTAAAATGTTACTCTTTACCTATATCACAGTGTACTTTGATATTCTTTTTCCCTCACCATATCAGACTGATGGGGTAAGTTCCTATGATTTATAGACATCATTTCTTTGATATTGCAGATTAATTCCCTATGGGTGTCTCTCCACCGGTAAGGAGCTGGGTCTGATAGAGTGTGTCCGTGATGCCCTGACCATCATGGACATTCAGAAGAAGACTATCACTGGTGCTTTTCAGATCGATTCTAGTAATGTCCATCGGTGGATCAAAGAAAACAACAAAGAGAGCAAGGAAAAGTAAGTTCTAAAAGCTTGACTGGTGTTAAAGTTTAGTCAATAAAATGCCTTCTTTGTCTGTTAAAGAGAATGAACAATAATTTATTGCAACTATTGAAGTAAAAATGTAAATTACAGCATTCACACACACAGCAGACATGCTATTGTAAATTTTTGATTCTGTATAAATAATCATGTAAAGTAGATCAAAGTACGTAAAATGATTTTATGTTGTTGATCTGTATGTTTCTTTGATAGAAGAGTTTATTGCTTAAGAAACTTTTCATAATAATTTCATACAGATGATGTGGAAAACTTGGTTTAACTTGATTTATTTCGAATAGAACCTTACAAATTTTTAATGTTATGTGAAATGCACATAGTGGTATGTAAAAGCATAACTTGAATCTATTTTTAGATATGACCAAGCTATAGAAACATTTACTCGTTCCTGTGCTGGTTATTGTGTAGCCACATTCATTCTGGGGATAGGAGACAGACACTCGGAGAATATCATGTGTACTAGGGATGGTCAGGTAAATATTTCATAGTGATTCACTAAACTGGAACTTAGATTTAGTTGGACATCAGATTTGACAAAGTCTTCAAAATTTAAAAGAAAACGCAATTTTGAACCAAAGAATCCTGAATCAAAGGTAAAGCAAGTGAAAGTAAATCTGTTAATGTTGAGTTGTGTTCTTGCATTAAATTTACCTGAGCTCTTGGAGATAAGCACCATCAAACTGATGTCTTGTTAGTTTTGAGAAACTAATACATCTACCGTATTTGAATTTCATTGTACAGTATCACACTAATCTATTCTGATTTGTTGTAGGTATTTCATATTGACTTTGGCCATTTCCTGAACCACAAGAAGAAGAAGTTTGGAATCAACAGAGAGCGGGTGCCCTTTGTCCTGACAGAGGACTTTGTGCGTGTCATTGTCCGTGGATCAGACAAAAGTACTAAACATGACCTCTTTGCAGAGTAAGTCTTATCCTGCAAATTTGCTCAAGTTCTAAAAAAACTTCGGAAAAAAATAAATCTGGCTCCATGAAATTTAGATGAGCTCACTTTTGATTTCAATCTCACAACCAACAAAATTTCATTTCAATCTCACAACCAACAGCATTTCTTTTATAAAAGCAGACCTGTTTACTCCTACGATTTCGCCGTATTTTGTACGGATTTTTAGTCTCAAATACGTCTCACGTTTTGCTATTATGAAAATGCGGAAATCGGAACTACATTTGTTTGGAATTTAGCAGATAGTTTTCATTATGTACTCTCTTAGTTTCATGCTTTTTCATCGTTAAAAAAAGAAAAAAATTCAAACACATAAGTGATGTCGGGTTGTCAAAAAGCTGTGGTATTATAAAATGACAAGGACCATGTTGCTAAACCATGTTTTTTGTAATCAGAAAAGTAGTTGTTCCCCATCAATAAATGTAAAATCGATGGAAAGTGAAATCCTACTGGCAAATGCCAAATCTCACAGACACATTTAATGAAAAATACTGAGAGACAACGATATGGGTAGACAGGTCTGTAAAAGTGAGTCAGAGATCAAAAAAAGTGAGCATGTCTAAGTTTTTTTGGATCTGGGGCCTGGTTTATTACATTCTGTAGAAAATTAGATATCTAGCAAGTATTACAATACATGTACTGTAACTGTAAATGAAAATAATTTGATTTCCATGATTTTATTTTTCACTCTATCTTTACAGATTTAACACACTGTGTTTGGAGGCCTATTTGGTTCTTCGTAGACATGCTCATCTTCTCATTAATCTATTCACCATGATGTTGTCGTGTGGAATCCCAGAGTTACAGTCCCTGGATGATATAAGTTATGTAAGAAAGACTCTAGCTGTGGAAGAGACTGAGGAAGAGGCTGCCAAGTATTTTAACTTACAATTCAAAACTGCCCATGGTGGACAGTGGTCAACCAAAGTGGACTGGGTATTCCACTTCATGAGGGCTTTCAGCAAGTAAAGAGCTGCAGAGGTTATCTTCTCTTATTTCAAGTGTGAACATGTGTTCAGTGATATTTATATGTACATGGAGGAAGAAATCAAAGGAATTATTTTGTTTGGAGAAGAGATCAAAGGAACAGATAACTCCTGATATGTCTTTCAGGTCTAGTTACAGATAGCAATGGATATGTATTACTAACAGGTAGTGCATTCAGGAAAATATGCTTGGCTCTTATTGGTCACCTGAGTCCATCATGTGACCAACTGCTGGCTGACTGTCATATATGACTCTGGAAAAATTTCAGCTTCATTTCTGAAAGATGGCTGAACCAATTCCTACCAATTTAGTACACAGCCTCATACGAAAGTAATGTTGATGGTTACAGTCCCTGTCATTGGCTATGCATGCTCAGGCTTTCAGAGTAACATGCTATTAAGCCATGTGCATGAAAGAAAGTTTGCTGATGGATACCTGTATGTGGAAATATTCAAACTACTCAGACAAACATGTCATAATATGAGGAACTCTTGAACCACAGTAATAGGCCATTTTCAAATATCAAATTGTTGAAACTTTTTTGGAAATGAATACTTCAGTGTAAAGATTAGACAGGCATGTGGGTGTATAAATGCAGATTAGTCTTGTTTCAAAGTCAATATTTTATGAAGAAAACTTGATTTTTATGAAAGTTCTTTTGATACTTTTGGTAACATTTACAGTTTTGATTAAAGATTAATAGCTTTCAAATTTATATCTTTCTGTAATATCTTTCAGATTCAGCATTATATGTATAAGGTTGTCCGTATTAAAAGTAGGTTGAGATTGGGCATTGAAAACAAATCAAATTTTATAACCTTATTCAACTTTAAATGCCTGCAACATGTGCAAGATAACTGACAGAGTTATGGTACTCTTTATATGAAAACATTTGAGAGAACTCACACAAGTACATTTCAACTTGTTTGCTTCAATAACAGATAAAATTTTAAGAAGCCCAAACAAACTTGTATCAATTGTGGATCAACATCATGTAAAATATTTATATCGATTCAGAAGTTTATAACACAATTAACATGTGTATAAAAGTCCCCCAGTTGTCTTTGTGATAAACAGAAGAAATTCTGAGTTTACATTTTATATTGTTGCTGATATTATTTAATATTCAGACTACTGATAATAATGAAGTATGATTTCATACTTAGAGACTGAATGTGCTTGTCATTATTTATTTCATTGCTGTGAGAAAGGTTGTTTTTAACACATGTACTTTCAAATGTGTTTAGTGCTAACATACATCATGTTTCAAAGTCATTTTTCTTGTAATGAACAATTTTTATTTCTTCAAGAAAGTGCAATCAATGATTATAATTTTTTTTTTCCGAGAGGTACTAGTTTATGAGTACAGTTGTTTATGCATTTACATGTTGACATCGAATCATCTCAGAAGACCTGTCTTTATACTGTGTGTTGTGTGTCTGTCTTTTCATGAAAAAAAGCATGTCTTTCTTGTGATAGCAACAAAAATAAATATTGTAAAGTTATTTTGCATACTTTATTATAATAAAGAATAAACTTGTAACAAATTTTCTTCTGAGTTTGCTTGACTTTTGAATAAGAAAAATTGTTATCCCCAGGAAATGCAACTGTATATGCCCTAACTGACAAGGTCATCCAGCGCTTTGCAATATTTATTTCAATATTAAACAATAACAAATGGTGTTTGACCTCTGTAAAAGAAAGTGCAAATGTATAGGAAATTTCCTTGAAACATCCTTTACTTGCTATGCACTTGCATATTAAGTCAATAATTAAAATATTGAACCATTGCATTTCAAACAAGAGCATTGATTCCCTCTTATGATAAATTATAAAATCCATTGTATAATCTAATCACTTCTATTTGATGTCTCTAAGTATTCTGCATTTTCAATTAAAGTCTTGAAATTCCAAAAGTAGGTCATGACTTCATCGTCGCAAACCACGGCCAAAATGTACGATCCTCTCCCATTCTGGCCGTGGTTGAATGAGAAGAGAATTTCTCGTTAGGGCCCCGCAAGGATTTGCGGGTGCCCTATAGTAATCACTCTGTCTGTCTGTCTGTCCGTCTGTCACTCTTCTGTCCACAAATTTTCTGTTTTTTTCTGGTAGTTCAGTAGGCAGAAATACATATTTTGATGCTAAGTTTGGTTCTCTGTGTCTTCTGGTTTGGAGCTGGGGTGGTGGGGTATATTCATTAACTATGCATAAGAATGAATGGGCAAAGAGAGATAACTGCTGAGAATGTTACCATTGTAAACTGGGAAAGCTGTGCAATTTGTCCTTTGGGATTAATTAACCTTCCACATGAAGAAAATCCTAAGCATTATCTTTATCTGTCACATTGAGATTAATTACTGTACCAGCCTCTGTCTGCAATGAACTTTGTTTTGAAGTTAAGGTCAATTTTGAATGATGTGTACATTCTTTGAAATATGGATTTAAAATAATGTTCATACTTTATATTGGTTAAAATACTGTACACAACAATTTTACATAATTTTATTGAATTCTAAAATCAAGATATATGTTAAGATATCTTTTTTTATTATTACTATTTTATTTTTTAATTATTTATTTAATTTTTTTTTTTGGCTGCCTTAATGCAGTTAATTTTAACAGGTAATCAGATAATAACCCCATTCTGTCAGTGCTGAAAAAAGTTCTTATTGTAAATTTATATAGAAGAAAAGGATGGGAGAGCAGTACAATTAATCCCCTGGGATTAATTATCTTGCTTGCTGCAGAAAATTTAGAAGCTTATCTTTATCTGTCACATGAAGATTAATGAACACCTTTGTCTGCAACTGATGTTTGTTTTGAAGTTGAGGTCAACCCTGGGTGATATTTGCATTCACTGAAGGCTTGCATTTTATAAAACACCTGCTTAAATCTTTTTTAAAAACATTATTAAATTTAGTTTTTTTTAATAAGACATGAGGTTTTCCCTGTTTTATGTTAATACAAGTTTACTATTTACAGGTTTTTGGACATTCAGGAATTATCTTGAAATTTTAAAAATACAGTTGTTACTTATAATCTTCATATATTAAAAAAAATGTAATCAAGTAAAACTCTCATTCAATGAGCTGCACCCTTATATTTCTACCCCTCAGCGGGGCCCTTGCTGACTGGTCAGTTTTCTAGTCATTCATTGTTTTGACCAATGCAAGTAGAGCATAGTCAGACAATGAATTTTGATGTGACCTTTCAATACCCAGTCGCAGTGTACGAAATACTGCTGATGTCAATTGTTTATTTCAATTGCAATGGAAACAAAACTTGTCATTGACTGAATATGACATCACAATAGAGAGGCGTAAATATTCAAGATTAAGACACTTTTTGTGATCAAGCAGCCACAGGTAGGAGAGAGCTTTATGCGGACTCCGGACGCTTGAGAAAATGATTATGTCCTACACTTTGGTTAAAACAGTCCGAGAGCCCAGGATAATCAACCGACGAAGTGTGATGATTCCAAGCCCTTTATTATCTGAAATATATAGATATAGCCATGAGTTTTCAAAAGTAGGTCATGGTGAGCTACTTCTTGGTAACCATATTCTGAGACCCAGAAATGCCTCAACTGACAAAACTGGATTATATTGACTCTTACTACACTGTATTTGAAATAGTTAAATAATGCCTTGAAATTCTAGAAGTAGGTCACCATGACCTTTTTATTATTTAACACATTCTGAGGACCCAAGATGCATCAACTGACAGAGTTTTATGATTCTTAGCTTTTAAGTACCTGAAATATTTTATTAAATTTCAAAAAAATTTTGAAGCAAGGTCACTGCGACCTATATCTAGTTGATGCTCTCTGAAGACCCTAGATGCATCAACTGACGAAGTTTGATGATTCTTCGCCAATTAGGACTGGTGATATTTAAATATAGCCATAAAATTCCGTAAGTATGTCATGGTGACCCATTTTTTTGCTGAATTTTTCTGAGGACCCAAGATGCATTAATTGACAAAAATTGATGATTCTCAGCCATTCAGGACCTGAAATATAGCCATATTTTTTTTTAAATAGGTCATCCTAAGCTAATTTTTGTTCAACATTCTCCAAGGACCTAAGATACATCAGTTAACAAAGTTGATGATTCTATGCCATTAAGTACTAGAGGTATTTTAAATATAGCCATAAAATTTCAAAAGTAGGTCAATGTGATCTACTTTTTGGTTGACATTCTCTAAAGACCTGAGATGCATCAACTGACAAAGTGTAATGATTCTAAGCCAATAATTACCTGAGGTATTTAGAGCCATAAAAAAAAATTTAAGTAGGTCATTGTGACCTACTTTTTGGTTGACATTCTCTAAAGACCCAAGATGCATCAACTGACAATGTTTAATGATCATAAGGTCGGAAAGTATGATGATTCTAAACCTTTCAGTATCTGAAATAATGGCCTTAAATGTTTCAGATGAGATAAGCCATAAAATTTAAAAAGTAGGTCATGGTCACCTACTTTTAAGATGACATTGTTTGACTACCCAAGATGCATCAAGATTTGATAATCATAGGCATTAAAGTGTCCAAAATATGCCTCAATATCAGTTTTTGAAAACCAATGCCTGCAAAATTCAAAAAATTAGGTCACCATGACTTAGTTTTGAGTTAACTTGATATGATGTTTTAAGATGCATCAACTTACAAAATTTGATGGTCCTAATCATTACGGTAAGCAAAATATCAAAGTTTTATAAGGTGTAACTTTAGTGAACCTTATTAAACTTTGAAGTGACCTTGAGACTTCACCAATTGCCCCTGTGTGATGCCTTGAATTCTTTAATCTTCAACATATCTTCATCCTTGTGTGTTAAGTTTGGTAATAATCTGTCTGGTGGTTCTAGAGATGATTTTTTAGCAACTTAGTACTTTCGTTTCTATTTTCTTCACCATCTCCCCTTGTTAAAGGGTCTCGACCCTAGTTTTAGTATTAATGGTAATCCTTGGGCCAAGGATACCATGTGACAAATTTGACAATAATTTGCATGGGGGTTCTTGAGTTATGGCCCATAATATTCTTAAAATTTTACGCACACCTCACTAATGGCCATCACATTAGATCTGTGCGCCTTTAGGTCAGAAGAGCTAAAAATTGAGTCACAAAGTCACAAAATCTTGAAGGACATCATGCAGTTATCATTACATTTTGACCTTGACAAGAAATGAGTGTACTAGTAATAAACCTAAATAAATAAATTTAAAAAACACCAATGGAATGGTTTATTTAATAACAGTCTTAAAAAGATAGTAAATTAATCGTTTTCTGGTGAAAATAAGATAAACTTACCGGTAATGAACAAAGAGTCTCACAGAGAATATAAAAAAGTTAAAATATGGGTACAGTGGATTTCAATGACAGTGAAGGTATATCAATATAATTATATTTATTAAACTCATGCTTATCACTAATCTTATATTTATAAATTTTAAATTTCCAAAAACAATTCACATGAATTAAAATTCAAGATATAAACATAAGAGATGTGAATGGAAAATTGAAAAAGTGCTGTGTACCGATTTTGTACAAGTTAGAAATCTTTGTGGCATTCAGTGATATTACTGTCATTATCATAGATTTTATAATTTCAGGCACGGTTCATATCCAACTTTAATTACAGGTTCATGCACTTCATTAATATCATATCTGACAAAAATTTTCCTTTAATTTTCGAAAAGAAAAAGGGATTTGTCCAGCACTGAGTATTTTTCCCATAGTATTAAAAATAAACAAATAAATATGAAGTGACTAGCTATGAAGTCACAGCCTACATTTGGATATGTGACAATTCAAGCTCATTCTGCATCAAGCATAAACCCAGTATATAAATTACTATTTCACCCTTACTGTAAACCAACGATTATTCGCGTCATCTTTTATTTGCAATTCGTCAGTTTGAAATCAATCTTTGACGTTTAATTTTCACAAATAAGGAAACATTTTCTACTAAAACAAAGCAAAAGAAATGGTTCATAGCAATTTAAATTCGCGACTTTAAGTAGGTCGCGAAACTCACAAATATTTCTTGCACGCAAATAAAAGTTTGTTTACAGTTTCTTGTTAATCCTTTTTTGTATTCATTATCAAATTAGACAGTAAAAAAAACTTAAAGAAGACATCTCATACCACAACATCTATCATTTTTACCGGGTACAGCTTATAGCAAATATAACAAAAAATAATACATGTATACATATATATGTATACACGTATATCCCCAACAATCAGTACACTGTCATTGCTATACATGTACATACAGTATATCAGTATTATCAATAATAAATCTTCCTCCAACTCTTTGCTCTATCAGCATATAAATATGGTACAAGTACAAACAAGCATTCTGTGGGTATTGCATGTATAAACAATACAGAGTTCCTTACAGATAATCCTTTCTATAAAGACCAAAGCAGAAGGAAAATGGGCACTTGATCTGTAGCTCAATAACACAAAGGCTCACACACCAAAAATAAGCTCACCATTTGCAAGCAATGAAGAAAAACTGAAGTGGGGCAGATCAACTGAAAAACAGTGGACAGATGGAGAGGAAACCTAGGAATCCACTCCAGTATCATAGGTAGGGGACTAATATAGTATAAATATAGTGGAATGTACAGAATAAATAATCCAAATTAGTAGCTGTTATAAGGCCGTCTTTAAATTAAATTCTTTGGTTTACCTCTCCATACCAACTATAAAAAAATAGCCTGACTCAAAAATTTTTATCTCTTGGAAACAATCATATTTTTAATCATTCCAAAGTTGTCAGTTGTCTCATTCTATTTTTTACAATCTTAACTTCATATTTGCATGAGTTTTTAAATAAAAAAAATCCCTTACCCACCTACCCAATTTTTTTTTAATTCTAAATCACAAGATGGCAACTTTTAAAAACAATTATTTAAAAGATTAACTAATACATGCTAACATATAACATGTGTATGGATATTTAATATTTTGATACTTAATATATGCATACTTTCTATTTTTCTAGTCATTGACTGTATTATACGAGGGTTGTTCGAAAAGTTCGTGGACTAGCCCCAAAAAATTAAAACCACTACAAGATACATGTACATCATTGAATTTTTTAATATTTAATTAGCATAATTTTTTTTTATTTATATAATTAACTATACATCATTACATATCTTTTTAAATAAATTGTTGATGTTTTTTAAAGCAATGGTATGTCCATGTGGCGCAACTTCAAAGATTACTTTTTTTCTACCTAAGTGTAACTGAGAAAAAACTTTTTTTATATGAGCATTTGTCATCCAAAAATGCCGTTAATTCATTCATGCGGTATTACAATATTATACCGTAAAATTTGCAATTTTAGCCCCATTCTGTAAGTTCTATGAAATTTCATAGTAATGTTTAAATGAAATGTCCAAACAATTTACGAGTTGTAATGACGTCAGAAAGGGGGGTGGGTTTCGTTTTCTAACATGCTATAAAGTTTCACCCCCTTGAAAAACTGACATAGACCTAGGAAACATTGAAAAATAAAATACTTTCCGCTTGACATTTAAAAATTATATAAACAAGACGAGTTTGAATCTTTACTTAACTCCAAGGAATCTCATCAAGATAAGTGTATGAGGAAGAGAATGTGGACATTGGGAAACAATGACCTCATGCGACTAAATGTACTGTGCCGGGTGAACAAATAATGCCTTTTTATTATGATAATTTGGAAAATATTTAAGGTATCAAGCTAAAATTTTCAATATTTTTCTAACTTTTGTTGTTTTATGTTCCTTAAAAATTTTGTAAGCATAAACTTCATAGTATTAATTTTATTGTATCTGTCTTCAAACTTTTCAAACAACCCTCGTACATGTATGTACCATATAAAGCATAGTGTTATAATCTTCACTTTTGACTCTTTGTACTTCAATAACGCAAAACATGCAAACAAAATTGTGCACAGGTACATATTATTAATTTGATTTTTATACTTGTTTTTTCTCCTTTTAAATGGATATGATAATTTGATGCTACTAATGGTGCACAGCTAAAAACTAATGGGTTATTAGAAAATGAATACCCCTAAAAACTGCACATTCAGACAAAACTTGTATTAAACAGTTTTAGCCTAAAGTTAATAACATATACATGTAGGATCACAGAATAAAAAACTGAATCCATCTAGTGAATAGTTTGTAAAATATTTGATCTTTTCATCATGGCACATTAAATGTAACAATCATAATCTATCCATTATTTCTATAAAAAAATTTCCAAACATAAAAACATTGGAAAAAAACATTCTTTGGATTCTTAAATGAAAGTTAATGAGTGTTTGAAAAAATGTTGTCACCATAAAGCACAAGTTTTTGTATGATTATCTAAGACATTCCAAGCCCATAGAAACTTATTATGCTTGTATAAATACACTTAGTGTACAAAAACATTTGTTTGAACAAGTAACAGACAAATCACCATGATCCATACAACAAACACGTTTTTCTTAACGTGTATCACAGGCAGATCTTTATCTCTAGAGATAAACAAGCAAATTCAAAGAATTGTGGTCCCCCGCTTTCGGTATCTTTGTGGGCAAGATATCATTTTTAGGGTCAAGGTCAATAGGTCAACGTTTTTGGTATCCCATGCCATAAAGAATACATGTATTTAAAATATGAAAGTCCTAGTTTATACCGTTCAAAAGTTGTGACCAAGGTTAACGTTTTTAAAAAGTAGTTAAAACTCCAAGGTGAAGGTCAATGGGTCAAAGTTCTTGGCATGCAATGAAAGGTCTTCTCACAAGGATTACATACGTGAAGTACGAAAGCCCTAGCCCTTACCGTTTAAAAGTTATGGTCAAGGTTAAAGTTTTTTCAGAAGTACGTAAATCTCCAAGGTCAAGGTCCTTAGGTCAAAGTTGTTGGTATCCAATGAAAGGTGTTGCCTCAAAGAATACATGTGTGAAATATAAAAGTCATTGTATCTACCGTTCAAAAGTTGTGACCAAGGTTATAATTTTTAAAAAGTAGTTAAAACTCCAAGGTCAAGGTCAAAAGGTCAAAGTTCTTGGTATCCAATGAAAGGTCTTCTTACAAGAATAAAATATGTGAAGTATAAAAGCCGTAGCCCTTACCGTTAAAAAATTATGGTCAAGAATATAGTTTTTTCATAAGTACGTAAATTTCCAAGGTCAAGGTCAAAAGGTTAAAGTTGTTGGTATTCATTGAAAGGTCTTGTGACAAAGAATAAATATGTGAAATATGAAAGTCCTAGTACCTACCATTCAAAAGTTATGGCCAAAGTAAAAGTTTGGAATTTTTTAGTAAAAGTAGTTGAAACTCCAAGGTCAAGGTCAAAGGGTCAAATTTGGTGGTACCCAAAGAAAGGTCTTATAACAAGGAATACACATATGAAATATGAAAATTATAGCTCCAATAAATCAAAAGTTATGGGCAAGGTTAAAGTTTTTGTGACGGACGGACAGACTGACGGACCGACGGACAGACAGACGGACCGACGGACAGACGAATGAGATTTAATGTCCCCTCGCTTTCGCGAAAGCGGGGGACAACAAAAATATATCTAATATAGACTAAAATTCATCATGTAGCACCCTTTTCACATTAACAATTTTACTACTTATAAAAACATCTTTATGGTTCTTGATTTCTTTTAAGGAAAGTTTTCCGTCTTTGTCATCATCCATTAAGGAGATTAGGTTGTTGGCTTCTTGTTTGGATTGTTGTGGATTTCTGGGATTCATATAATCCTGTAAATAGCATAAAATAAGTGTACTTCTGTATATAATCCTGAAAATAAGCATATAGGGCCATCATTAAAAATATTTTGTTTAATGTACTCTGACCCACATTTTTCAAGGTGGGTAGGTAAGTAGGTAGGTAATTAGTTTTTTCAGTTACTTCCCTTGTATTGGAAATATTTTGTAACGGGATAGCGCTCAATGGCTATCCCACTTCTGACACCAAAAATTGTAGCGAGATAGCGTCCAACGACTATCTCATTTAAGTACTGCTATAGTGGTTCTAGAAGACAGGAGTTAAATCCCCTTTTAAACACTGAGTCAATAACACTAAACTCGAAAATTAAGTTTCATAAATTTATTGAGTCTGCAAAACAATAAACAATTTTAACACAAAAAAATAATAATACCCAGGCCTTTTAACCACCCTTTTTACTGACAAATATCACAATATTAATAAATTCTAATAAACAGCCGGATCTCGAAATAATCGAAATATATGGCTGAATTCTATCTATTAAACTTAATTATCAATGAATAAAAGATTATTAACAACTGGAAATTCAGATACGATCGGATCCTGAAATAATCAAGATATATGATCGTAAATAAATCCCCAAAGCTGTTAAAACTAAACTTTCCCCCAATTAAATTAAACCAATTACCGAATTACAATTAACTGATTTAACAATTAGTAAATAATTACCAATTTTGTCTAAAAGCCCAAAATAATTATGTTAACCCTAACATCAAAAATAGCAGACTCCCCGATTTACGGAAGAATCTCCCCTTTTATACTCTAGAGAAAATTCGTATACAAAACTCTTACGAATTCGTATAAATTCTTACGGAATATACGAAAAATACGGAAAATCTTATACGGAAAATAGTTCCATTAAGATAATTCGAACAATAATAAGTATTTCACCATAAAATAACTTGACTTTCATTCATTCAACAATAATTAATTAATTAATTACCTCATAACTGTTCATTTTTACTTCTGTACAAAACTCCAAGGGCGTATGAATAATACCGCGGATCAAGAGAAAAATAAACCGGAAGTATACCACAATGCAATGCGCCGCCATGTAAATAGAAAAATAGACGGTCTGCAATACTACAACATGTGTTAGCACAGTACAGGTAAAATAAAAGTGAAAAATGTAATTTAAACAAAACATCTAGCAGTTCATACTCTTTCAACAGCATTTATACAGTTATTTCAACAAGAACATCATTAATTACGAAAGGACATACATGTATTACAGGTACTCGTTCTACTTTCACTTTGCATACGATGACATGAAAAGTTGTGAATCCAATTTTAGAACATCACTCAATAAATGTTATAAATGTACAATGCATACACTCAAATTACTCAGATTGTGAACAATATAAATGCTAAATTAATTGGCTAGATTTGTAATCTAATTACAAACAAAATATAAGAGGACTTGAAATGACCAAACTTTACACTACCCCTCCGTTAAAAAGATTCATGTCCTCATGAATAAAAATACTATGGCAATGCCATTACAAGTAAAAAAAAATGAAAAATATGTACAGTTCATGAGATTGTGATTATTAATAATAAAATAACATTTGTAAAAGAATTTACCAACATGTAAACTGCTCATTAATTCACTCATATAAAAAAAAATTAATACACATCATGTTCACCTCAGCGGTACCTTAATGTTATACCTTTATAACATTTTACACATATACAGCAATGTCTGTATAAAAAAAAAATCCACCCCTAACCCACGTCTACTTAAACAGTTTACCCAGATTTACATCTTCATCCATATAGATTTTACAAAACACTAACAATACAAATTCAATTTGAACTAAACGATATTTACAATTGCTTACAACTCACTTCCTCTTTTCACTTTCCGTTCCTCCACGCGTTTCTCCCAGAACCCCGCCCCCGTCTCCAATATCCTCCTTCTCTCTGCCTTTGATGATATTCCAGATAATTCTCTCTGTCTACTCTGCTCTCTCTGTCCTCCCTGTTCCCTCTGTTCTCTCTGTCTACTCTGCTCTCTCTGTCCTCCCTGTTCCCTCTGTCTACTCTGCTCTCTCTGTCCTCCCTGTTCCCTCTGTTTTCTCTGTCTACTCTGCTCTCTCTGTCTTCTCTGTTCTCCCTGATCTCTCTGCTCTCTCTGTCTTCTCTGTTCTCCCTGCTCTCTCTGCCTTCTCTGTTCTCCCTGCTCTCTCTGCTCTCTCTGTCTTCTCTGTTCTCCCTGCTCTCTCTGCTCTCTCTATTCTCTCTGTCTGGTAACCTCAAAGTCCCTACTACTCTCTCCAGTGTCCTCCCTTGTTCTTTCATTCTGTTATTCATTTCATTTAAGCAAGTATATATTAAGAATAGGTGTTGATTTGTTTTTTGTAACTCCTGAATAATTCTCTCCTCATGATCTCGTCCCTCTTCCTTCTCTCCACTGACACCTTCTCTGCTACTGTCGCTACTTTCACTACTCTCACTACTGTCACTACTGTCGCTATTGCTTCGTTTCCTTTTCCTCATCTGATTCTCTTTTCTAGGGGCCTGACGCTTTACTTCGTCTTTCTGGTCCTCTCTTTCCCCCGTGGCCGCTTCTACCCTCTTAATTTGGACACTTCCATCTTCAGAGCCTCTGTCCTTGGAAACCTTCCCTGTTTCTGTCCCCCCTTTCTCCGGTGGGCCACTTCCACCTTCATTACCACTGCCTCTGGAAGCCCTCTCTGTTTCTGTCCCCACTTTTTCTGATGTGCCAATTTCACTCCCATTGCTGATGCAGTATGGGGCAGCATTCGCACCGTCCAGGATGGGTTCCGGCATAAAACCCGCCATGTCTGCCACTTGAGGTGCAGTGTCTCCTAGTAGAAAGGGATCGAGATATTTAAAATCATCCTCCAGTAAGTCCTCAAAGGCGAGGTTTACTGGAGTGAAGGATGGCATCGGGGGAGTGTCCAATGCAGGGATGGCAGTTTTTGAAGTAGGTACCGGAGTCACGGATGGAACTGGGGTTGGGGCAGTTGGTGTTTTACTGGAATTTACGCCCATCCAGTGTTGCCTGGATTCCTCCCGACTCAGTCTAATAAAATGTACTCCCTCTACTAATAGTACGGGGTTCGGGTTGGCCCGAAGGTAATTCTCTAACGGTCTTCCACTGCTTTCTAGTGTTTTTACGGCTTCTACATGCTTCACGTACCCTTTAACGTGGGCGGCTAGTTTGTCTTTTTCTGCTGTTAGAAAATGGCAGAGTGAACAATAATATGGGACACGGTCAAGAGGTACATGATATTTATATAGATGAGCAATGACTTGTCTTCTTTCTCCAATATATTTAGGCATAGGATCTTCGCAGTCTAGACATTGATATGCCCTTCCCCTCTTCAGTGCCTGAATTTCTGCTTCTGACATCCTCTATAAAAAAAAATATTAAAACTGCACTTGTGATTGCTTTTCATAAAAAAATTGGGGTACATAATTAAAATGCATGCCCATCCCCATTTATTCTATCTGCCTGGATTAAATAAATCATTCAAGTGTTGTATAGCATAGAAAAAGGAATCTTCATAAAAATCTTCGAAAGAACTTCTTTCTGCAAATACTCGCGAGTAAGGAAACTCCGGAATGCAACATGACGAGTAGTCTCGTATTAGCTTAATACTATTATAGAGAGAAAGGACAATAAATATATATTTTAATGTAATATTAAGAAGAAATCCATAGGAAGAGCCAACGGTACCTAATCCAACAAAGCAGAAATCCTCATTCTTCACAGATGTCATAAAACCCACTCGTCAAAATCCAACTATAGGCAATCAGTTGAAAAGTCTTTTCCTTTCTTTCCTTTATACTTTACGTATATACAAACATTTTATTTTATTTTATTTTTTTTTTTTTTTTAAGAAGAACAATGTCCCTTGAGACTATACAGGAATTAAGCCTGACCATATGCAGTGACTGGCCTATAAAATGACTCACTTATACTACAACTGGAAGGAGAACCATCACTTATTCAATTTTATAACCTGGTAAATATCAAGTAGTTTCATTGCTTCATTTATAAATAAGGTTTTATTTTATCATGGTGAACTACTTTAGACGATTCATTCTTTGGGTTCCTGATTCTATAGGTGAGATCGGACAGCCGCTGATCTACCGTGCAAGGACCCCAATACAAGTTGCCTAATTTGCCATCTTTCTGTCCTTCATTAAGGCACCATACTTTGTCACCTTTATTGTATCTATTCGTGCAAGACTTTACATTGTAGAAATCTCTCTGTCTACAGTGGGAGCTCTGCAAGTGTTTTCTGGCAATTTGGTGAGATTGCTGCAACTTTTCCCGGAGTTTTTCTACATACAAGCCATAGTTGGAAATAGAGTCATCCTGGATCAAAGTCTTTGAACCAAATATGATTTCCGAGGGGATTCTGACTTCTCTTCCTAACATAAGCAGGTTAGGGGTAAAACCAGTAGACTCATGTACACTTGATCTGTACGCAGATCCCAAACATCCCAAATAAAGATCCCATTCTGTTTTATCATCCTTAATGAAACTTTTTATCATTTTAATTAATGTCCTATTGAATCGTTCAGTCTTCCCATTACATTGGGGATGCCTAGGTGTGGTTCTAGTCTTCTTTATTTCAAGGAGCTCACATAACTCATGGAAAATTTGACTCTCATAATTACGACCTTGGTCTGACAATATTGTGTCGGGACACCCATAGCGACTAATAACTTCATTAAGTAAAACTCGTGCAGTAGTAGCAGCTGTTAAGTCTGGAATAGGAAATATTTCCACCCAGTTAGTAAAGTGGTCCGTTGCAGTTAAAATATATTTATTCCCTCTAGGCGTTTCTGGCAGAGGTCCCAAAATGTCCGTAGAGAGTCTGTCTAGAGGAGAGCTCACTGTCATATCACCTAACTTGGCTTTGGGAGTGCGGTATGGTTTTCGGTTGCTTTCACAAATCTTGCAGCTTGATACATGAGCACTAATGTCTTCCCT